CCCTTATGTGTAGCGGAAGCGTGTTGAACAGTCTCGGGCCTCTGATGTTTATAGAGTTCTCTCTCAGAGTACCTGTTGCACCTCTGCTTTTCAACAGGGGTATTCTGCACATCCTGCCATGTCTTCTGGTCTCATGTAATGTTATTTCTGTGTGCAGGTTTGGGACCAGCCCCTCTAATATTTTCCACGTGTAAATTATTATGTATCTCTCCCGCCTGCGCTCAAGGGAGTACAGATTTAGGCTCTTTGGTTGGTCCCAATAGTTTAGATGTTTTACTGAGTGGGTTCTAGCAGTAAAGGATCTCTGCACGCTCTCCAGGTCAGCAATTTCTCCAGCTTTGAAAGGGGCTTTCATTGTGCAGCAGTACTCCAATCTAGAGAGCACAAGCGTTTTGAAAAGTATCATCATTGGTATAGCATCTCTAGTGTGAAAAGTTCTTGATATCCAACCTGTCATTTTTCTTGCAGTTGTGACGGCTACTTTATTGTGTTCTTTAAAGGTAAGGTCTTCCGACATGAGTACACCCAGATCCTTACCATTGCCTTTTCGTTCTATGTTACGATTTGCCTGAGTTTTGTACGTGGTTTCCGTTTTAATATATATATTTTTCATTTTTAAGGCGTGGTATACCCTCTGTCATTACCGCACGCTTGAGTGGCGTGAGGCGTTGACGGTGGTCCAGGTTTTCCTGGGGGGTGAATTTGAGTACCTCAATGAGTGCTTCTTTGCCCCGGGCCCTTCCTCGGGATGTTGACGCTGTGCAGCTCCATATGCAGATTCCTTTCCTTTTGGCTGCGCAGGTTGCTGAGAACTTGTGCCCTCATGGCCTCTTGGTATTGGCCTTGTTTCTTTTTCCTCCTGGAGCTGACTTTGGACTGGCTTGGGGAGGATGTGAAGGCGTTTGGGGCCGTTTGCTGCCTTGGGGTTGGCGACTTGCTCGTCGTCTGCCTTGGTGAAGCTCTTTGCGTCGATCCTGCGGGATGCGGTGTCACTGTTTTATGCCTTCCGACTTGTGTGTTGGCAGGCGGTGCTTGCTTCCTCCCTGGAATTTGCCTGGGCCCTGGTTCTTAGAATGTCGTCGCTCTTCTGTCCCTTACTGTTTGCTGATTCTGCGGTGGTGCAATATCTGCAGGGAGCTTCAGCTAGCTGTCATCCCATGCCCGAGTTGTTGGTTCTCTTGGAGTCCCGGGGGGGGGCTTCTTGGAAAGGTCGTGCCAGGGCTCGGGATTTCGCTTGTCGGGGTAGGCCACTGGTGCCAGTTTCAGAGTGCCGGTACTGCCTAGGGAACCACCTTCACTTGGTTGATGCGGTGTTCGCTGTGTGAGGCTCGAATTCTCGTAAGAGGTGCCGGGCCTTTTGCGGTTCGTCCCATTGATGGGGCGATGGAGGGGAGGCTTGCTCTGTTTGCTCATGCCTGGTCTCAGAAATTGCGGGCTTTTTGGGTCGTTTCCAACAGCCTGCAGTGGCATTGGGTGGCCCCTTCTCCTTTGGGGGGCTTGGGGCTGATGGGGCAGGCCTCTTCCCCTGCGCTCTGTCAAGTCATCTTGGAGTGGGTTCGCTTGGGTGTAGTCAAAACAACAACGTCCCTCAGATAGGTTACCCGTCTGTTTCCAGTCCTGAAACGGGACTGTGCAGACCTGAGGTTCATTCTGAACTTGTCCCGTCTGAACCCCTGGGTTCATTGTCCCTCCTTTCGGATGACTACACTGTCCCAGGTCTGGCTTCTTTTGGAGCCGGGCACTTGGATGGTGTCCCTGGACCTCTGGGACAAGTACTCGCACATCCTGATTCATCCGGGGTTCAGGGACTGGCTCGGCCACATGGTGGCCGGCCCAGCCTTGGTTTCAGACGCTACTTGCACGGTATTTGAACCCGGAGGTTTACCAGCGACTCTGCCTCTTTCAGCAGATCGGACCGGTGTGTCACGTGGCTGGTTTGAACTTCTCCTTGAGTCTTCGCGTATAGTATTTTTGACTCGGATTTATCATCTCTATGGAGATCCGGTGGCTTCATTGCTGGTGTGCCCCTGTGGGCATCTTCTCGACGGCAGTATGAGGTCTCTTGGCAGTCTTGCCAGTTCTTTCTTTCGTTTCGTAGGTGTACTTCTCAGTCTGTTAACACTATCGCTCACCGGGCAGGCGCGCGGTCAACTTAGGGGTCATGCACCGAGCGTGCGGGCGAGCATGCGGGTAAGTGCACGGTGACACTTAAATGTGTATACTCGTTTCAGCTTTCTTACCTTAATTCTCGTGCTACGTCGCTCGTTTTGGTATCATTGTGTTCGCAATTAAATTCCCTACAGGTGTGTATAAATATAATGTCCAAAAGCCTGGTGTGACTCCCAACAGCAAAGCCTAAAGTCGGCAAAAGTTACCCGTGAGCGCACAAAATCAGTAAAATGTGCATACTCATTCCATTTTTCTCACCTTAATTCTCATGCTACATTGCTCGTTTTGGTATCATTGTGTTCACAATTAAATTTCCTACAGATGTGTATGAATATAATGTACAAAAGTTTGGGTTGCCTCCCCGCAGAAAAGGATAAAGTTACCCGTGAACGAGCACCAATTTATACACTGCAACCTAATGTGTATACTCGTTCAGTTTGATAACATCAATTTTCGTGTTACGTCTTTCATTTTGGTATCAAATTGTTCGCAATAAAAAGGCGCGTATTTTAAAACTAGTCCCATAATAATAGAGCAATAACTGGAATTTTAACAAATATTTTAATTCTGGACGCTCATCATCACAAAATTATTTATATCTTTCCAGTGTTCAGACAAATTTTTGTGTTACATCTTTCATTTGGTATCAAATTGTTCGTGACGTAAAGATGCACATTTTAAAACTAGTCCCAAGATAATAGGACAATAAATAGAATTTTAACAAATATTTTAATATTTTGACCATAAGCCTATTTATAATCTTTCAAGTGTTCGGACATCAAGTTTCATTTTATATCTTTCATTTTGGTATCAAATTGTGCACAATCTAAAGGTGCTTATTTTGATACTATCCCGAGGTCGATTGGATAAAAAATGAATTTTATACAAATATTTTTTGTAGTGGATGCAAGTCCGGTCCAAAGTTACCGATAGTGTCTACACCGTTTTGCAAGCTATCTCGTGCGTTGTTTCACCACCAGCCTGCTCATGCGCCGCTTGAGCCATCCTGGTCGCTTGACAGGGTGCTCTCTTATCTCTTGTCCTCGGTTTGTAGTGGCTCCTTCGGTTCAGGACTGTTTCATTAAGGCTCTTTTTCTTGTTGGCATTGGCCCCTGGGGCTAGGGTCGGGGAGCTTCATACTCTCCTCCGGTGCAGGGGTTACTGCTCTTTTGGTCCTGGTGGTAGGTTTGTTCGTTTGAAGCCGTCTCCTCCTTTTCTGGCATGAGAATGAATGCTTTCCAGAGGGGTCCTTGGGTTGTTGATGCTTGGTTCATCAGGCCAGGGGTGCATCATGTGTTGTGTCTGGTTGCGGCTCTTCGCTGTTATTTGTGCGCCACGGGCTCTGTGGCTGGGGATGCTCTTTGGGTTGAATTGGTTTCCCTTTTTCCCTGTTCCAGGATTTGGGTCTCCTGGGTCATCCGCAGGGTTATTCGTTCTAGCCAGCCTGCGGTCTATCCACGTGCCCATGACATTCGTAAGTTTGTTGCTCTTGCTGCGGTTGTTGGTAAAATGTCTTGGGTTGACATTCGGGCACAGGGTTTTGGAGGTCGAACAGGGTCCTGGCTGCGAGTTACTTGGTGATCGTTCCTAGGCCTAGTCGGGCCTGAGTCACTTTGGGTCGGTGGTTGCAGCCAGTTGTCTCAACTTTGTGTTGGGGAGTGAGCAGCGACAGCCTACTGGGTAAGTCCTTCTGGTTTTTACATTTTGGTAGGTAGCTCCAGGGAGCCAAAGGGGCTCCCTCCAGAAAACCAGCGTTGAATGTAATGAAACACCATTTTCTGGACGAGACCCGGAGGTTCCCCGGCAACCCTCCCTCCCCACGGTCTGCGTTTTTTTCGCGTTTTTGTAGCTTCCCTCTCCCGGGGAGGGGGGAGCTGCACAGACAGCGGCATGGCGACGTGTGACGTCATACTCGTTTGCTCGTTTCTGTTTGGGGGAGTTCTATCCACTAGTTCAGCTTTTTGTAGCAATTTTCACCATAATAGGTGTTTGTTTTGGGGCGCCTATCTTTCTGGGCGCTTGACCTGGTCAATGGCAGACATAAAATGCTCCCAACCACACGGGGATTTCTATAGGCCATTGCTCCTCGCGCCTCTCTGAGGGGACCAGGTTCTGGCTCGTGGTCCCCAGGAGGCCCACAGAACTCCATACATATGACTGATGCAAAAGTCTGACATCGGCAATATCAGCCTGGATAGCTCTGGGGAGCCTCCGGGTCTCATCCAGAAAATGGCATTTCATTACATTCAACTCTGGTTTTTTGCCTTAACAAAAATGTCACATTAAACACTTGCCTTCTAAAGGCATCTTCCACTGTAACAAACCCCTCGGGGTTGATCCCAAATAGTTTGCAAAATCAAGGACTAGGCAATATATACAAAATCCTTATTCCCCATTCCCAACTTTCATGGGAAATGCTGTAATGATAATATATATTCTTTATGCATGAATTTATGTATGATGTATGTATGTCCTTAGCAACTAACATATACCAAATATTTTCCAAAGACCTTACACTTAGCTATGTTGTACATTGTGCCAGAATGTTTTATAGATGCCTAAACTCAAAATACTACAATATTGTAAAGTTGGTATAAATGTAAGAAATATAAGGAAATATTGTACCTGTATTGAGTGCAAGGTTGCACTTCAAGAATGCACTTGAAGTAGATGCCATGGGTACCTTAATTTCTAACTTAAAGAACAAGTACGGTATGGAAGTTTATTAGAACACTGGAAAGATTATCAGCAGCAGGTTGATAAGTACTACTACACGCTAATGGCCATAATACTATGATGATTTCACGTTTGAATAATAAACATCTGCTTACTTGGTCTTTATTATTAATATTTGAGTATGGTAGGCAGCCAGAGAACAGCTCATACAGAACTATCCCAAATGCATACACATCACTTTGAGAGGTATAGGGGTTTTCATCTTGCATTCTTATCACCTCGGGTGCCATCCATAGGATTGATCCAGAGGGCTGCTGGATTTGTCGTCCCCCTTGGCACTCCTGGGTCCATCGGCCACCCTGTAAAAGAATATACTGTATTACACATACAGTATATATAAAATAATCCTGTTACAAATTTCTTAAAAACAACAAAATTGCAAAAAACAACAACAAAATTAAACAAAAACAAAACAAAATTAAAATAATTGTGAGGGAGCCACATAAAGTGCCAAAAATTACAGTGAGAAATGTGTGCATCCTAACTACAGTGCAGATAACAGTGTTATAAATCAGGTGAATAACATTGTGAAATTTGGTTATCAGATACTTAAAAACACTAAAATTTTAAGGAAGGATAATAAAACTTTACAAACTGAAATGCAAGCTGATGGAAATCAGACAATAAGATGAGGAAGGATAAAATTACAATGAAAACACTGATGTTGGTGCATATTTAAATACTGGAACACACCTGTGATGGGATGGATCCACACTTGCCTTAACTCTCAAGATTGCAAACTATGTAAGTAAGGTAATTATTACAACAAATGCAACAAATTTGTTTTAAAAAAACAAAACAAATTGAAAACAAAAACAGAATATATATGGGATAAATAAAACGTTACCTTGACTGTCGCAAGACCGAAGTCCCCAATCTTGACCGTGTAATCATCATGTAGGAAAATATTATTTGATTTCAAATCTCTATGGATTATATTCTTTGCGTGGAGGTAGCTGAAAATACCATACACATATGAATGAATATTGTTAAACAGACATTTATAAATATTTCTCTATTTTTACATGGAAATTCAAAGCAGCATGAAGAAACATAAACATTTAAAACTACAGTACAGTGACACCTCGGCTTACGAATGCCCTTATTATGAACTTTTCGGGTTACGAGCCCGATTTTTTCGGAAAAATCGAATCAAGTTATGAATTCTGCCTCGGAAAATGAATTTGTCGATACGCGTATGGCCGACCTAGCGTGTGGGGGCACGGCGATCGCGCCCCAGTTTTCCAGTGCCTCCCGCCTAGTGACAATCGTGCCCGAATTCTTTGTAAAGAATTACAGTTCTTTTCGGATTTTTGGCTATTTGAACATAAACTCTGATATTATATATCTCGCCATGGGTCCCAAGAAAACCAGTGGTAAGGTTCAAGCCAAGAAAACACATGTGAGAATGACCATAGAGGAAACCACAAGAGATCACTTGTAAACATGAAGATGGTACATGTGTTGTTGAACTAGCTAGGCAGTACAACAAATCCATGTCAACGATATGCACTGTACTTGCTTAGAAAAAGGACATTATGAGAGCTAAAGTGACAAAAAAGCTTATCAAAAATCACGAAACTAAGAACACAAACACTTGGGGATGTTGAAAAGTTGTTATTAATTTGGATACATAACAAGGAGTTAGCAGGTGATAGCATTTCAGAGGCCATCATTTGTGAGAAAGCAAGGCAATTGCATGAAGATCTTTTAAAGAAAACCCCTGGAATGAGTGCTGCAGATACGAAAGAGTTTAAGGCAAGCAGGGGATGGTTTGAGAAATCTAGAAAAAGAAGTGGTATTTATAGTGTTGTGAGGCTATGGAAAGGTTTTTAGTGAGAAAATCAAGCAGTGAGCCACAACCAGGTCCTAGTGGTATGCCTGCAAAATTTAGGAGAGAGAGTACCCCCAGAAAAGTGATCACTGCCTGATGTTATAATGGAAGAGGACTCCCTTTCCAAACACTAACACCTCTCCTCCTCCCCCTCCTCACCGTCTTCCATACGCAAGAAGAGTCATCAGTAAGGGTAAGTAATAACTTGTACATACTTTAGTACTGAAGATTTGGGTGAATTAGGTATAAAATTTACTTTGAAATTCATTTTTTTGGGGAGTCTGGAACGGATTAATTCAATTTCCATTATTTCTTATGGGGAAATTCGCTTCAGTTTACAAATTTTTGGCTTACGAACCGTCTCTGGGAATGGATTAAATTCGTAAGCTGAGGTACCACTGTAGTACCAAACCGGTTCAACAGTTTGTATACATGGCCCACATTCTAACACTGCTTGATGATGAGACAGAAGGTTTAAAAGCAAGAAAATTATTCAATTCAATCTTTATTTGTGAAAAGATTAACTGATACTTCAATTTAAATTCACATTTAATGTAATCCCCACTCCTACTCAGAAGCAATAATAGCATTATCTAAGTCACTCACTCTCCTCGATCAAAATGAAACTCACAATAATGAGAAACAAATAAGATTTTAAGAGTAATATGGGACTCGAACAATAGGTCAAGATGTGCAAGGACCAAATGCTACACTACTCCTTATAGAACAGTGAGCCTTGCTCATCTTACAACTCATTTAAGCCCTGCATTACTTTTACCAATTGAGCTCTATCACTGCTGCATAGCTAGCATGCTTATATATGAACAATACCTATATTAAATTTCCATTAATTTATAATCCTCAAGTTGTCCTGATGATTAAAAATCAATTATAATAAAAGCCCAATGAAATGATACAACAAGGACTAGCAAATACTCACTCCATGCCTTGTGACGTTTGTCGGGCAATATCTATAATTCTCATAAGCTCAAATTTAGTTTCTTGAACATGTAAGTGTTTATAGAGACTGGAACCTTCACACCATTGAGTAACAATTGCCAACTGTTGAGTCTTGACACACCCCATAAACAGTAGAATATTTACATGTCTGAAAGAAGAAAAAATATATAATGTAAAATTATCTGTTAACATTTGCAGAGAAACAAGAGATGTAGAGATACAGAGAGAAACAAGTGCGTGGAGATTTGCATTAATAAGCAGTCTTGCATATACAGTGGAACCTTGGTTCTTGTATGCCCCTGTTCTCGTACTAAATTTCTACGAGAAATTCGATTCGGTAGTCATAGTTTGCCTCGGTGGTCGTAGTTTGTTAATATACGTACGGGTCCGCCGAGCGCATAGTTCTGTTCTGATGGGTGAAGGGCGAAACCAGGCGTGCACTGTTAACCAGTGTCTCCCGCCAAGTGACGATCGCACTTGAATATTTTATTTGGGAGGACAACAGGAAGGATGGTGGACGGGGGCTGGATGGATGGATGGATGGAGGAGGGGGACTGGATGGATGGAAGGTAGACGGGGACTGGATGGATGGATGGTGGAGGGGGACTGGATGGATGGATGGTGGAGGGGGACTGGATGGATGGATGGTGGAGGGGGACTGGATGGATGGATGGTGGAGGGGGGACTGGATGGATGGATGGTGGAGGGGGGACTGGATGGATGGATGGTGGAGGGGGACTGGATGGCTGGATGGTGGAGGGGGACTGGATGGATGGATGGTGGAGGGGGACTGGATGGATGGATGGTGGAGGGGGACTGGATGGATGGATGGTGGAGGGGGACTGGATGGATGGATGGTGGAGGGGGACTGGATGGATGGATGGTGGAGGGGGACTGGATAGATGGATGGTGGAGGGGGACTGAATGGATGGATGGATGGATCTATCTTGAGGTTATCTTGAGTTCATTTCGGGGCTTTAGTGTCCCCGCGGCCCGGTCCTCAACCAGGCCTCCGCCCCCAGGAAGCAGCCAATGACAGCTGACTAACCCTTCATCCCCCCATCCCAACCCCTCCCCACCACCTCCATCCTCCCATCCCAACCCCTCCCCACCACCTCCATCCCCCCATCCCAACCCCTCCTCACCACCTCCATCCCACCATCCCGCACCCTCCCCACCACCTCCATCCCACCATCCCGCACTCTCCCCACCACCTTCATCCCCCCATCCCAACCCATCCCCACCACCTCCATCCCCCCATCCCAACCCCTCCCCACCACCTCCATCCCACCATCCCGCACTCTCCCCACCACCTCCATCCCCCCATCCCGCACCCTCCCCACCACCTCCATCCCACCATCCCGCACTTTCCCCACCACCTCCATCCCACCATCCCACATGCTCCCCACCACCTCCATCCCCCCATCCCACACCAGACTCCCCCCCCCAGCTGAGCCCCTCCTAACCATATGGACGATATTAATACAGTGTTTTTTTTTTGCTACTAGCTGTTGGATCAGGAGGTAGACTCCCCGAGCGCCTGTCATTAAACTCTTATTTTTTACTAACTAACTGGTTGCGACTGTGAATGCCTGATTGACTGTGAATGACTGATTGACTGTGCCAGTGACGGGTCTTGACGGTGAATGCTTGACTGCCTTTGGTTATGACTGCCTGTGTCTGGTCTTGACTCTGAACGCTTAACTGACATGTTGTGACTAAGTAACTGGTTCTGACTGGCTGCCACATAACAGAGGCAGTAAAATGTGTGAGAGGAAAATGTGGAACCTGTGATGCAGATATGAAAGTTTTTAAGGTGAGAAGGGGACTGTCTCAACCCCCTCCCTCCCTCCTCACCCTCCCCATACACCAACACTGCTCCTCCCCTCCCACCCTCCTCACAGTCTCCCATACACCAACACCGCCCCTCCCTCCCACCCTCCTCACCGTCTCCCATACACAAACACTGCTCCTCCCCTCCCACCCTCCTCACAGTCTCCCATACACCAACTGCTCCTCCCCTCCCACCCTCCTCACAGTCTCCCATACACCAACACCGCCCCTCCCTCCCACCCTCCTCACCGTCTCCCATACACCAACAAGAGTCATCAGTAAAGGTAAAGTGCAGTTAAATGTTCACTTTGTAACGGTTCAATTGTTACGTAAAGTATGGTGACAAATAAACACAGACACTAAGATACTATATATATATATTTGGTCGAATATACAGAAGTACACAGGTGATACTTTGGTGTGAGTTGAGCGCACTGACAGTTGGTACGGTACCTACCTACCTTGAGGCTACCTTGAGGTGCTTCCGGGGCTTAGTGTCCCCGCGGCCCGGTCGTCGACCAGGCCTCCTGGTTGCTGGACTGATCAACCAGGCTGTTAGACGCGGCTGCTCGCAGCCTGACGTATGAGTCACAGCCTGGTTGATCAGGTATCCTTTGGAGGTGCTTATCCAGTTCTCTCTTGAACACTGTGAGGGGTTTGCCAGTTATGCCCCTTATGTGTAGTGGAAGTGTGTTGAACAGTCTCGGGCCTCTGATGTTGATAGAGTTCTCTCTCAGAGTACCAGTTGCACCTCTGCTTTTCAACGGGGGTATTCTGCACATCCTGCCATGTCTTCTGGTCTCATGTGATGTTATTTCTGTGTGCAGGTTTGGGACCAGCCCCTCAATTATTTTCCACGTGTAAATTATTATGTATCTCTCCCGCCTGCGCTCAAGGGAGTACAGATTTAGGCTCTTTAGTCGGTCCCAGTAATTTAGATGTTTTACTGAGTGGATTCTAGCAGTAAAGGATCTCTGCACGCTCTCTAGGTCAGCAATTTCTCCAGCTTTGAAAGGGGCTGTCATTGTGCAGCAGTACTCCACTCTAGAGAGCACAAGCGTTTTGAAAAGTATCATCATCGGTATAGCATCTCTAGTGTGAAAAGTTCTTGTTATCCAACCTGTCATTTTTCTTGCAGTTGCGACGGCTACTTTATTGTGTTCTTTAAACGTAAGGTCTTCCGACATGAGTACACCCAGGTCCTTTACATTGCCTTTTCGTTCTATGTTATGATTTGCCTGCGTTTTGTACGTGGTTTCTGTTTTTATATTTTCAATTTTTCCGTAGCGCATGAGCTGAAACTTATCCTCGTTGAATACCATATTATTTTCTGTAGCCCATAGAAAGACCTGATCTACATCTGATTGGAGGTTTGCCGTGTCCTCTATGTTGCCAACTCTCATGAAAATCCTAGTGTCATCTGCAAAGGATGATACAGTGCTATAGGTTGTGTTCTGGTCTATGTCCGATATGAGGATGAGAAAAAGTACTGGAGCAAGCACAGTACCCTGGGGGACTGAGCTCTTCACGGTTGATGGGCTGGATTTTATTTTGTTGACTATTACACATTGGGTTCTGTCAGTCAGGAAATTGTAGATCCATCTGCCTATTTTCCCGGTAATTCCTTTTGAACGCATTTTATGTGCAATAACACCATGGTCACATTTATCAAAAGCTTTTGCGAAATCTGTGTAAATTACATCAGCGTTTTGTTTGTCTTCCATAGCATCTAATGCCATATCATAGTGGTCCAGCAACTGCGACAGGCAAGAGCGCCCTGTTCTGAAACCATGTTGTCCGGGGTTATGGAGATGCTGTGATTCCATGTATTTTGTGATCTTACTTCTTAGCACTCTCTCAAAAAATTTTATGATGTGCGATGTTAGTGCTATCGGTCTGTAATTTTTTGCCTCTGCCTTATTTCCTCCTTTATGGAGTGGTGCTATCTCTGCTGTTTTTAGTATGTCAGGGATAACGCCAGTATCTAGGCTTTGTCTCCACAGAATGTGAAGGGCCTGCGATAGTGGTTTTTTACAGTTCTTGATGAATATGGAGTTCCAAGAATCCGGGCCTGGTGCAGAGTGCATAGGCATACTGTTTATGGCTTCTTCAAAATCTAGTGGGGATAGGACGACGTCTGATATGTGATTTGATGTTGGTATCATATCCATGAAAAATTCATTTGGGTTATCAATCTTTAGTGCATTTAATGGCTCACTGAAAACAGAGTCGTACTGCTTCCTCAGTAACTCGCTCATTTCTTTGTTGTCATCTGTGAAAGTTCCATCTCCCTTTCGCAGGGGCCCGATACTAGATGTGGTTTTTGATCTTGATTTTGCATAGGAGAAAAAATATTTCGGATTTCTCTCTATTTCACTGATGGCCTTTTGCTCTCTTTGCCTCTCCTGGGTTTTGTATGATTCTTGTAGCTTGAGTTCAATTGTTTCTATTTCTCTACCTAACCTTCTTCGCCGTTCTTGAGATAGGGTGCGACTCTCAAGTTGTTCCGCGATTCGTTTTCTTCGCCTATATAGGGAACGACGTTCCCGTTCCAATCTGCATCTCTTTCTCTTTTTTCTTAGGGATATGCGGTTTGAATATATTTCTAGTGCTACTGAGCTTATTTTTTCCAGGCACTGGTTCAGGTTTGCATTTCCTAGCTGTTCTTCCCAGTTTATTTCTGTGAAGTCCTGGTTTATTTGCTCCCAGTTTATCCGTTTATTATTGAAGTTGAATTTGCTGAAATCTCCTCCACCGGGAATCTGGACTGGTTTTGAAGGTCCATTTCCCATGGTTGTCAGAACTTCAATTAAGTTGTGATCTGAGTAACAGGTATTTGTAATCATTATGTTCCCGATCAACTCATCATTATTAGTGAAAATGAGGTCCAGCGTGTTCTCCTTCCTAGTTGGTTCTACTATTTGCTGGTTTAAGGCAAACCTATCGCACATCCGTAGCAGGTCATTTGCATGTGCGTGCTCATTTAGGCTACTTCCTGGTATTCTTTCTGATATTACTGTATTAGCCAGGTGCTTCCATTTCAGGTGCCGTAGGTTGAAGTCCCCAAGCAGGATGATGTTCGGAGCTGGATTTGTGAGGTTTTCCAAGCAGTGCTCTATTTTCATTAGTTGGTCTTTAAACTGCTGAGGGTTTGCCTCCGGTGACTTATATACAAGGACAACAACTACATTTAGGATCTCTATTTTGACTATCAGCACTTCCACCATATCATTTGAGGTGTTTAGCAGCTCAGTACAGATGAGTGTGTCTTTGATGTAGAGGCTGACCCCACCCTGAAGCCGGTGTTTCCTATCA